AAAAAAAAAAAAAAAAAAAAAAAAAAAACAAAAAGAACCAATACAGTGAAAGAGAATCTGAAGAGATGATATGAAATCTCAATTTACTGATTTTCCTATTTTTTTGGTTACCATAATTGGGTTGTTTACGTCGACGCATGCCATAAAAGACGTTCAAAGCTTGGTAAATATGTGAAAATAAATACGTGTCAAACTCAAATGCCGAATAGATAGCTAAGCAAACGCTGCCATTTCACCAAACAGGATATGCATCGGGGAGGATAAGTCCTCAGGCGCGCGGTAAATTGGACCCGGACACTCTGACCCTAACGATGAAAATAAAAACGAAATGCATGATCTTCGAGTTGGTTACGACAATTTACAAACGACGAAAATCATTTCTCGCAGAAACAGCTTCATGGCCACCTGAAAAACATTCCTTTCAAATTTCAGATTTCATTTTCCCGGAAAAGGACACACGGTGAACGAACCAGGTGGCTTCTCTCGTCTTTGAAAAGTTTCTTCCTCTCTCCTATTATCTTAATCTTAAACTATAAAATCTGTGATGGCAGAGAATCAACTCTGAAATTCTCATACGGCTCACAAAATCTCATTGTTCAACCTCAAGATGGTTTCTTTTTTAATGGGTGATCCTGGAAAACTTTCATTTCTGCATAACTCTGTTTGTCAAAAGATTATACCCATATGGGTTCTCAATGGGAACCTGAAAAGAAATTTCAGGCACCAAAAATGTTGAATTTTTTTTTTTTTTCATTCACTTCCGTAAATTTACAATCAAAACTTGAGTTTTGTGATTTTTAGTTTCTGGTTTGTTGTTTGAGTCATCTCATGAAAAAAAATTCAAATGAGTACCATAATATAATTCAACCATTAAGAAATTTATTCAAGGAATAACGAGAATTTTGACTTTGGGATATACTAGAGTGGGACTCAGACTTAGATTTGGATACAATTGAATTCCTTTATTTTATATGCTTATAAAATAAGAATTACTTGTTTTTATACTTGAATAGTGTTGTGAAATTGGGAAGTATATGCTCTGGATATTTTAAATAAAATGCAAGTGGGTTTTGGAAATTGGACTATAATAAATTCTCTGGATACTATTTGTGGATGCATTCTTCCTCTTGTCTGAATCCAGGTTTAGGCAAATTATTCTTGTTTATTGTTCATTATGTTGAAGAGCTAACTGTAGGAGGCTTTTAACAGAAGGTGATAATGTCTTCGCATGATCATGTTCCCCAAAGACTTGAGGTTTGTCATTCTACATTTTTATTCTTCTAATTAAGAGTATTTGCTGGAAGAGAAACATGTTGAAGTAATTTCTATTATGTACAATTTTCTTGTTCTTTAGGGGAAGTATGCTGCAATACTAGTGTGTTGGCTTCTTGGAAACGGCTGCCTCTTTCCATGGAACAGTATGCTTACGATAGTAGATTATTATGGTTACTTGTTCCCGGTACCTTTGATCTCCTATTTTGCTTTTTTGATGTTGGATGTTCAAAATATTCAGTGATTGTTGTTTTGTGATGTATGAGGTGATGACAGGCATTTGCGATGCTTAATTGGCTAACAAAGTTCTGATAGTTTCTAATGTAGCACAAGTTATTTCATGTGGTGAATAATCTGACACAATCTTGAACAGAGTTCTATTGCCACTAATAACCAAAGTTTTCTGAAATCTAGTGAAACAAGGATACTTTAAAAATGCCTTTTCAATCTGCATACAGCTTTTGAGTTTAATAATCTGTGGGAAATACTCTCTTCAAATTCAGAGCCAATCATTTGATCGAAGTTGATTTTCTTTGAGAAAAATGATCCATGTTTGGCATATTCTTAAAGACTGATTCCCAACTTTTCCCAAAATATTTTTACTTTTCATATTTTAACATTGCATAATTGGTTTTCATCTAGCTGTCAATTTTGATTTTGAAATTTAAATCTCATGGTACTTTCTTTTGGACAATGACTAACATTTTAAGAGTTTCTTCACGTTATTTTGCTGTCCATGTATGGTTTTTGTCATTGTTTGTTTTGCTATTGAACACAGTTTCCTTTCTCCTGTGCAGCATTATCACCCTGCAAGAGTCCTTACTCTTGTTTACCAGCCATTTGCGCTGGGAACACTCACAATACTGGCATACAATGAGGCAAAACTAAACACTAGAAAAAGAAATCTCTTTGGATATATGCTGTTTTTCTTAAGCTGCCTTGCCTTGTTAGTTGTAAGTTCCAATATTTTAATGTTCGCACATGTTTACTTCTAAAGTTCTTCTTCATTAAATTATATTGGTACAATGATTATGATTATTTACCCCTCTATGGTTTCTGGCATAATTAGTTGGATTTAGCTACATCTGGGAAAGGAGGACTTGGAACTTTCATTGGAATTTGTGTTATTAGTGGAGCTTTTGGGGTTGCAGATGCTCATGTCCAGGGTGGGATGATTGGAGACCTTTCCTACATGACGCCTGAATTCATTCAAGTCAGTACCAGTGGTTGACATTTCACCCTTTTCTTTTCAACTCTTTTTTTTTTTTTTTTAATTCTTATTAAATTATTGTTTTGAAATCTTCAGTCTTTTGTTGCTGGTTTAGCTGCATCAGGGGCCCTGACCTCTGCTTTAAGGTTAATCACAAAAGCAGCATTTGAGAATTCAAAGGATGGTCTTCGCAAAGGAGCAAGTATGTTTAAATTTTTTTTTTTTTTATCTCCATCACCTCTCATAAATAAAAGATAAAAAAAGATCCTTATAGCAGCAGTTGAAATGAAATAATGTCAGAAGAGATCCATTGCATACATAAAGCCTGATGTGAAATGGATTTGCTTATATAATGACTTATTATTTTCTTCCTTTTAAGTTATAACTAATAGTTTCACCATCATTAGTTTCACTTTCTACTCCAAGTTGCTAGCTTTGTACTTGTTTTCAAGCTTGTCAAATTTATCTTAAGCTCATACTGGATTTATTTATACCCCAGATGTTACTGCATAATTTTACTGATTTTCATTACATGTTGTTTTTAGGATTCACAATCACTTGGATGTCATGGTTTCACACATTGGCTTAGTGAAGTTTTACAAGTAGATGTAAATCGCACTTGTTTTGTTTGTTTATTTCCTCAGTTAAAATTAATCAGCATCTCAGATATGCGGACAGTGAAGCTTCTTGCTGTCCTCTGGGTTTTATTGTTAATGCTTACCAAAATGATGTACTTTTCAGCCTTTATACTCTTCTTCTTTTTTTTTTTTTTTTTTTTAAGACTTTTCTGCAAATTTAGCTACTGGAGACTAACTATGGTGTCTGTGCCACTACCAACGCCTATTTTCCTGCAGTTCTGTTCTTTGCCATATCTGCATTTTTTGTGCTTCTTTGCCTTCTTCTCTATGCATATGTGTTTCCAAAACTTCCCATTGTGAAGTTCTACCGTTCAAAGGCAGCTTCTGAAGGATCAAAAACAGTTTCTGCGGACCTTGCTGCCGGTGGTATCCAAACAATGTCCCAAAAAGTATGTGATAAACTGTTTATGCAGTAAGAAATTCCTAGAAGTTCATAATTCAATCTCTTTTTAAGAATTCAATACTTTTCACAGGCTGAGATGGAACCAAAACAACATGAAAGGCTGAGCAACAAACAGTTATTGCTTCAGAATATTGATTATGCAGTTGATATGTTTCTGACATATGTCCTAACATTGTCCATTTTCCCTGGATTCTTGTCTGAAGATACTGGGAAACACAGTTTGGGTACATGGTAAGTTTTTATCTTAAACAATACTGCCTTTTTCTCCCTGTACCAATTATGACATTCAAATTTGTCACATTAATATTCCAGGTACGCACTTGTTCTAATAGCAATGTTTAATGTCTGGGATCTTATTGGGAGATACATTCCGCTGGTGAAATTCTTGAAATTGGAATCTCGAAGAGGTCTCACCATTGCAATTCTTTGTCGATTCTTGTTGATCCCAGCATTCTATTTCACAGCAAAATATGGTGACCAAGGCTGGATGATCATGTTAACATCTTTATTAGGCTTAACTAATGGTTACTTCACTGTCTGTGTGCTTACTTCTGCACCAAAAGGCTACAAGGTTTATTCTTTACATATTAAGTGCTCGTTTTCTTAACATGGTAGATTGTTTTCAAGGAAAACTGAATGGACAGTCTTTTCCAGGGACCGGAGCAAAATGCCTTAGGAAACTTGCTGGTGCTGTTTCTTCAATTAGGTCTCTTTTCAGGTGTTACTCTTGATTGGTTATGGCTTATAGGGAAGGGATGGTAAGCCTCAGTTCTATCTCGTTTTAAGCAAGTATTTTCTATTCTAGTTTGACAGAAAAGAGCAGATTTCTAATGTTTAGAATGGTGATTTTGAATGGATGCTAAAACATAATGTCTGTCATATGTTATCCATCAGATTAGGAGGAAAACTAAGCCAATGTTGATTACACTATTCAGTGTTTTCATTGCACAGCTCTGTACAGCTTGCTGCAAAGTGGTTTGATTTAAAACTTTTAAAACTCTTTTATCAAATAAGTGCTTGGCAACACCATCCTTTTGACGGGGAACTCTGTTCCATGGGCAATCCCCTATCCAATGACTTTTTTCGTAGTCCATGTAAAATGCTGTGTAGTGGATTATAATATTTTAACTCCATCGTTGTCTAAATAATCAATATATATATATATATATATATATCTCCTAGTAATTCTACCACCAAACCATATAGCTAATGGTTAGTTGATGAATATTCATGACATTGACATGAAACGTAAATTTAATTGGCCATTTTAGGCTTAATTTGATAAACTGTTCGTAAACTGTTGATATTTTTTTGTTTTAGTCTACAATTTTTATTTTCTTACATAAATGTCTATTAACTTTTAAAATTATATCAATTTCATCTACCTAACATGTAACAAAATTAAAAATGCTATAGTTATAATGCCACATGATATTATAAGTGTATAATATGATGTGTTATTATATAATTTGGTATTATATAATTAGTTTTTTTCATTCAAAACTTCATTGGTGATATTGTATATATCCCACTCATTTAATTCCACATTATTGTAATTATAGTATTACCGTAACACAATTATGTTAGATTAATAGAAGTCCATATCATCACTTATGAGGTGCGGCTTAAGCTACAATGTAATCAACACATGGTTTAAAAATAAAGGAAAAATCAATATGATAACATAATATGACGTGTTATTATATAATTTATCATTATATAATTATTTTTTTTATTCAAAACTTCATTGGTGATATTGTATATATCCCACTTATTTAATTTCACATCATTGTAATTATAGCATTACCGTAACACAATTATTTTAGATTAATAGAAGTCCATCTCATCACTTATGAGGTGCTGCATAAGCTATGATATAATAAACACATGGTTTAAAAATAAAGGAAAAATCACCATCTCTTTATTTTTCTAATCTAATTAACAACAAATAATTAAATTATGATCTAATTTGATTAAAATAAAATCCAATTAAAATAATTAAATTATATAATAACACAATATGATGTGTTATTATATAATTTGTCATTATATAATTAGTTTTTTTTCTTTCAAAACTTCATTGGCGATATTGTATATATTCTACTCATTTAATTCCACATCATTGTAATTATAGCATTACCGTAACACAATTATGTTAGATTAATAGAAGTCCATGTCATCACTTATGAGGTGTGGCAGAAACTACGATGTAATCAACACGTGGTTTAAAAATAAAGGAAAAATCACCGTCTCTTTATTTTTCTAATCTAATTAACGACAAATAATTAAATTATAATCTAATTTGATTAAAATAAAATCCAATTAAAATAACAAAATTAAAATTATTCAGGCCACATGTTGCTTACAAGGTAGCTTATGTGGCACCCACTAAGCAATGATGTGGATTCCTGTCAATCTTATTAACAAAGATGAAATCGATATAATTTTAAAAATTAATAAACAATCTTTAAAAGAAAATATAAATTTTAGACTAAAATCGAAAAAGATCAATAGTTGGTAGATGTCATGTTAAATTAAGCCTCCATTTTAAGTTTAAAACTGCACTGGTACAATACAGTATCAATAACATTGGTTATGGTGGGTTTTAAGTCCATGAGTTTCTTGGTTATTAACTAGAGAGTAGAGAATCAGTCGAATATCTAGATGACCTCTTTTGGCCGATAATACCA